TATACAAATGGAAAATAAGCACATGATAATCAACATAATTAGTCTTTAAAGCAATAAGAATTAAAACCACAATGAGATACTACTACACACCCACTAAAATGGCTGCAATAAAAATATATAGATAATTCCAAGGAAGCACATAGTGAAACTATGACCCTCTCCTATACTGCTGGTAGGGATGTAAAATGGCACTACTAACTTAGGACACAGTTTGACAGGTTTTTTTTTTTAAGTTGAAAATTAATTTACTATATGCCCCAATGATTCTACTCTAGAAATCTACCAGGAGAAATGTAACCACATGTACACTTAAAGATATGTATATGAATGTTCATGACAACATTGTGCATAATAGTCCCAAAATGGAAACAATCCCAGTGTCTGTCAACTGGAGAACAGATAAACAAACTGTGGTATATCTTTTCAATAGAATACTGTTCAGCTCTAAAAATGGATGAACTGTTACAGATTTATATCACAACATGGATGGATCTCAAAAATATGCTAAGTGCAAATGTGACTGCACAGTATATAGTTTCATTTATATGAAATGTTCAGAATTGGCAAATTTACAGTGTCAGAGAGCAGAAAGTAGTTGTCTAGGGAGTAGAAGTGGGGATTACCAAGGGAATTGGGGGGTGATAAATATGTTCTAAACTTGAATCATGGCAATAGTTGTAAAACTATCTATTTACTAAAAGTCACAGAATTAAACCTTAGCAATGGGTGAATTTTATGGTATGTGAATTATACTTCAACAGAGGTGCTAAAACAAGAAAAATGATGTATTTATTTTAAATGTAGGATTGTGGCTTTGATGCATGTATAGAGGGATTTTGTTTGGTGGGGTTAGAAGAGGTCATTGCTGAATGAAAACATAAAATGCCATTAGTATGTAATTAGTAGCAATGGCAGCAATATCCCTGGTGATGAATAGTTTCAGCACTAGAAATTCAAAATCTTGCTTATTGCTGGATCTTCCTAAGATCAAGATGCTGGCATGTTTAGCCTTCTCACTTGTAATTATCCTCCCTCCAAATTCAAATAAGGATTAACTAATTATAGTGGTGTCTTCAGACACAACCACATCAAACGCCCTGGTAACCAAGAATTGTCCTGTCTGCAAAAGTATCTGTTTTGAGGCCCAGAATACAGGGACTGAGCCAACCCACAGAGCTCCCCTAACCTCGTTTAGCCAGCACAGGTACACACTGCATTTCCATTAACTTTATTTTCTTAAGATGCTGCTTTAATTAAGATAATCCTTTTCTTACATAGACACCGTGGGTCTCGGTAGGTCCAACACAGAAAGTAGCAGTGGATCTATCAAAGCACCAGGACACAGTGTTAGAAGCCATGGGTTTCAATCTTGGCCTTGACATGAACTAGCCTTGTGTCTTTATCCAGGTAACTTAACTTTTTAGCCTCAGATTATTTAATCCCCAAACTGGGATAACCCTGCCTATTCCATAAAACTGTTGAGAAAAATAAGAAAAACAGCATGTATAAAGTACCTGACCCAGCACCTCCATGTTGAATCTGAATAAAGGATACAGCCGCAACTTCTTGGCATGACAATCAAGGCTCTCCAGAGCTTGGCCCCAACTTTCCCATCTATCTTAATCTTCCAGTAGGAAGGCGCCCCATTCCAATCAAATCAGACTTCTAAACAACCATCACCATGCAACGACTCAGGCTGTCTCCTGCTACCTTCTCCCCTACTGTATTCAGTAATCCTACTCACCTCTCAACCCTCAGCTTAAAGCCCATCTTCTCCATGATGTTTAGTCTGACCATTAATTCCTTAAACAACTCATGAGAGCCTTAACTATACACTTTAAAAATATTATATCTGTTTGAACACATCTTACTTCCTCTGATATAGAATGCACTCCTGGAAGTACACCAAGACTTATGTACCTCATGACATATCCCCACAGGGCCTCTCACAGGTTCTCACAGGGATCTCAGATTTTTTAACTCAGGAATTGCTCAAAAAATAATTAAGAAACCCCTATTCAAGTCCAACTTTCTCATTTTATAGACGGAAACACTCATTCCCAGACAGGGGAAGTAACATCAAGGCCATCCAAGTGGTTTGGCATTAGTGCTGGAGGCAGAGCTCAGGTCCCCCGGAGTAGAGACCAAAGGCTGTCCTCTGATACAGTTCTCCTCCATATGTTCCAGGCAACCAACTTTTAGCAGGAAACACGTCGTCACCCAGAATGAAAACTTTACTTCTCATCCTCCCTTTAGTTAAATGTGGATAAAAGTAAAAGTGCCACATAACTGCATCTTCTCTTTTCTCCCCCTACCTCCTTCATCCTGCTGCCTGGAACACAGATGAGATGGTGCAATTCCACATTGAATCAAGAGACCGAGGGCCACAACCCAGAGACGGCAGAGCAGAAAGCTGCAGGAAACTGACACCCTAAGGGCTTTGAGGAGCAGAGCCAGTATACCAGCTCTGGATTGCCTACATTTAGATTTTTACACAGAAGGAAAATAAACTTCTATCTTATTTATATTGCTGTTATTTTAGATACGCATTTGAATATTATTGGCAGCTTAATTTATCCTATTATCCCTCCCATCAGCTTTTTGATGCTCTTAGTTCTTCCCATTGCCTCTAGACATACATCTTAAGACATTCTTTCATTCATTCAATAATTCACTAGATAGCCATTCAATGTGCATATACATTCTGTCTGGCATAAATCAAATGGGGGCTACAGTGCACACAGGAATGGAATGTACAGGTCCTCTACTTAAAAGTCATGGATATTGAATGAATTTCTCACTCTCTTACTTCATATTACAATTCATGTGTCTGGCTAAGTTACATCTCAGAATTTCTCTGACAATCCTATCTCAAATAACCTCACTGTTTCCAATAATATAGTGTTGACCAGACCATTTGTGCTTAATGTATTCTATTTCCCTCTCTACATTCACTCTCTACCCTTATCCACTGTTTTCTTTGTGTAGGGAGGCTTATTTGTATGGGTTTTCATTGCCCTCTGATTGCTGCTTGGGTTGGTCACGAAGAACACCCGGAAAGAGATCAGAGAGAAGTAAGAGAATGAGCTCTATGTATTTATTTTTCTCAGCTTCTTCCCTGTGGGGTCATTTCAGGCTAACTTTATTCCACAATTGAAGGTCACTGTTCCACTCAAGGTTGCCACTACATAGCTCTTTACATTGTGTTCTGGTAACCATTCCTTCCCTTCACACCCTTTGAGCTGTTACTAGCCCCAGGGAAGTGCACTATACCCTGTGGTTTCCATACACACTGCACACACCTTGTAAACAGCCCATTTATTAAGCCTTCCTCAAATTACCCTAATGTGAGGCTGCCATCTGTTTCCTGCTAGCATGCTGGCTGATACAACATGTGTCCCAGTTTTCAGTTCAAAATGTAGGAGCTAGATACACGCGGCACCCATCAGAAGCACTGTTAAGAAGGGGGATAGAGCAGAGAGAAGATATGTAGCAAAATTTAGTGTATAGAGACTCTTGGCCTATAAGATAGTATTGTGACCACTAGCTTTGGAGTCAAGATTTGGCTCTCATGTACCTGAACCATTCACAAGTCCTCTTTATTTCTCTCTTTTTGGAGGTATCCTGGACTAAACTCTATGTATTTTAAGCAGTCTGGTCTTGAAAACTTTTATTTAGAAGTAGGACCCATTACTAGGTGGAATCCACAGTTGCTAGGCAGAGTCCATTTCCCCACCAATACATAAAGGAACTCAAGTATAGTATTTTCTGCAAATTCCACCAGTATCTTCACTTAGGGTCTTTAAAGTGCTCAATATACCTATTTCAGAGGCACAATCCACCGTTCTTAAAGAGTGAACATAAAACCAAATTATCACCTGCTTATCCTTTACTAGTAACCAAACTATCACTGACTATAGAGAATAAAACCTATGCATCCAATGTGAAGAACAATTCAGATCCTGGGTTGTGCAGTGTAGGAAAGAGGAAAGGAGAAAAGGAAAGTGTTGGTAGACAGAACAACGCACCCCACTAAATGTCCAGGTCCAAATCCCTAGAACCTGTCAGTGTGTTACCTTACATGAGAAAAGGGACTTCACAGACATGATTAAGTTAAAGATATTGAGATGGAGATACTGTACTGGATCATCTGGGTGAGCCCGAGCCCAACATAATCACAAGGGTCCTTACAAGTAGAGGAGGGAGGCAGAAGATTTGGTGTCAAAGTGATGTAGCATGAAAAAGATATAACCAGCCAATACGTGGCTTTGAAGATGGAAGGGACCCACAAGCCAAAGAATGCAAGCAGCTTCTAGAAGCTAGAAAAGGCAGGGAAATGAATTATCCCCAAGAGTCTGCAGAAGGAATGCAGACCTGCTAATATCCTGATTTTAGGCCAGTGAGACCAGGTTTAGACTTCTCCTGAACTGTAAGATACTAAATTTGTGTTGTTTTAAGCTACCAAGTTTATGGGTACCAAATTTGTTGTATTAGCAATAGAAAACTGATACACAGTGTAAGACTGAAAGGTCCAGACCCAGGGAACTAAACCAGGGGAAGGAAGAAAGGTTAAAAACTGATGGATGGCAGAGTCAGAACACCTCGTGGGCAGCACATCCAAACTCCGTACCACTTGCTCACCTGCACTGCGGGCAAATTAAATTCACTAAAAAACAAACCTACTCTTAATTTCAGAAGCTCACTTTCATAAAATGCTTCCATGCCTTTTGTGACACCCAGTAGACACCTTTTCTTTTCTCTCAAGTGTTTTTGGAAATTAGCAGAATTTCTGTGCTTTGCTACAGAGCTTTATCAGCTTCATTCAGAAAGATAAACATCTGTTATATCTTATTCTGTGACTTCTTGGAAGCCATATTACAGCAAAGAATTACACATTAAAAACAATAATTTCCAAAAGTCTACAAAGCACCAGTACCCATTATTTGCATTCTATGAAAACCCATCGCTAAGCCCCCATGGATGTTCTGAATGGGCCTTACCACGCTCTGACCCAGCTTCTCCCGAAAGAAATAATCCATGTTCCTCTTTTGCAGGCTGTCAAGGTAATGCTGAAAGCGAGTGTATGTGTATGGGTAGCAGTAAGCAAACTGGTAAATATCTTCTTCCCGGTCAAAACAAAATGCAAAGGACATCACATAATTCTTCCTATGGTCCGGGCAGCGGTAGTAGTAAACATTTTTAGGTGGCAGCCTTTGCCTGAAAGATACAAAGAAAGAAATTGGGGCATATCAGATAGCCATTGAAGCTTCAAAAGGTGGTAAACAGAAATAGATAGATACCCAGGAGAAACTGTAACATCAAGAACCCTGGGTGCGAGCCAGGGACAATAACATGTATCATTTACCATCAAAAAGAGACAGGAGTCTGGTAGTGCTTTGTTCAAATTCCAGCCCTACCCTTTATCAACTGCTTGGACAATGCAACACTAAACAAAGATGAACAAGTTTTACTTATTGTTTATTCTTATTTTGAACACTGAGTATATGCCCAGGCATTATGCTAGATTCTTGATGTGTAATAGTAAATAAGATAGGCAAGATGCTATTCTCCTGGAGTATATATTGTAGCAGGGAAACAGTCAATAAATTATTAAAAATTAATATACAATATAGTAATGGCCTCTCGAAATGCTTAAAGAGTGCGATATTACAGTGACATAAATAGGGGAATGCCTACTTTTCTTGGGGAAGTCAAGTTTTTGTGTTACAAGACTAATTTAGACCTATATTAAAAGAATGTGCATTGTGAATATTCAAGGGAAGAAAGAATATTCAACACTTTTTAGATTTTTACTATTATTAGATTATTAATAGATTACTACTATTAATTTATAGATTACTATTATTTTTCTGCAGAACATTTCATGAAACTGATTTTCCACAGAAGCATTTTCAGAAATACTGCTTAAAAATACGCTGTGCTGGCAATTTTGCTGAGCCGCCATGCTCATTCTCCAACAAGGAACACTAAACCACGTCTGTGAGAAAAGGCAAAACATTCCAGTCATAGTTCCTAACGCCCTTACATTCACCCACGCCACAGGTTCGCAGCACCCTGCCCTGCTGTTTACTATCCAGACCATTGACGCTTACAGAGAAAGCCTCTCATTTCTGTCTCTTCAAATCCTGTTAATCGTACAAAACCCATATCAAAGTGTGCATTTTTGAAAACATGATCATTCATTGACAATTTCAGGGCACTTTAACTCCCACATTCTGTAGTAACTTGCTTTTGTTTTTTATTGTTGTTCAGTTACAGTTGTCCCCATTTTCCCTACATTACTCTCTCCCTACCCTACCCACCCCCACCTCCCACCCTCAATCCTCACCTCCAGGTGTTTTTATCCATGGGTCCTTCATACATGTTCCTTGATGACCCTTCCCCTCCTTTCCCCATTATAACCCTTCCCTGTCCCCTCTGGTTACTGTCAATTTGTTCTTTATTTCTATGTTTCTGGTTCTAATTTGCTCACTTGTTTATTTTGTTGATTAGGTTCCACTTGCAGGTGAAATCATGTGGTATTTGTCTTTTGCCACCTGGCTTATTTCACTTAGCATAATGCTCTCCAGTCCCATGTGTGCTGTTGTGAAGGGTAAAATTTCCTTGTTTCTGCTGCACTGTATTTCATTCTGTAAATGTACCATGGTTTTTTGGTCCACTAATTTACAGATGGACATTTAGGCTGTTTCCAGCATTTGGCTATTGTAAATTGTGCTGTAAATGGTGAATATTGGTATGCAAATGTTCTTTTGAATTGGTGTTTCTGGGTTCTTAGGGTATAATCCCAGCAGTGGAATTGCTGGGACAAAAGGCAGTCCCATTTTAGAGTTTTTTGAGGAAATTCCATACTGTTTTCCATAGTAGCTGCACCAGTCTGCATTCCCACCAACACTGCACTAGGGTTCCCTTTTCTCAACAACCTCGCCAGCACTTGTTGTTTGTTGCTTTGGTTATGATGGCCATTCTGATTGGTGTGAAGTAAGTATCTCATTGTGGATTTAATCTGCATCTCTTTGACAGCTAGTGATGCTGAGATTCCTTTCATGTTTCTGGGCCCTCTGTATGTTCTCCTTGGAGAAGTGTCTGTTCAGGTTCTTTACCCATTTTTTAATTGGTTTGACTGTCTTCCTGGTGCGGAGTCATGTGAACTCTTTATATATTTTGGAGATCAAACTCTTGTCTGAGGTATCATTGGTGATTATGTTTTCTCATATTGTTTGTTCCCTTTTCATTTTGCTGATGTTTTCTTTAACCGCGCAGAAACCATGCAGAACTTGCTTTTTAAATGAACACTTTCTAAGTCTTACCCATTTGTATGAGTTTGGAAGCTTCTTAGGGCAAATATGTTTCTGAAGGTTCTGGCAATAGTGGCCAGAGGATGTAAGGTCCACCTTTACTGGCTTGGCATTCAACTAAGAAGCCAAGGGGCACAGAAACACGTGGAGGAAAATGTGAGGAGGAGGGCTGTCAGAGATGAGGTTGAGAAAAACAAGAATGGTGCTGGGTCCAGGGGGGCAGTCTGAAGAAAATTGTTAAGGCCTCCAAGATCATTATAACATGCCCTTAGTTTATTGCAGAATCTTGTTTCTACCTCGGCATCTTTCTGAAACTGTCTAAATAGCCAAGGTGGGAGGTGAGGCTGGGGGCTTCCTGGGGAAGAGCAGAGGGTACATGACACTGATGCTATAACACAGAGTGGCTTGTGTTGCTTTTCTCTATCCCTGGGTGTTCTGAATCCCACCTGAACATTTTCAGTGTAATGTGGAGAGGGGAAAAGACAAAAGAAAAAAGAGAAAAAGAAGGAAAGGAAAGGCTGAGAGAAAAGAGAAAGAGTTGAATGGACAGTACATACCTGGGGATCATTCTGTACCTGGTTTAACACAAAGAGCTACTCTGTCAGTGAAGGTATTGTTATTCCACCTGAAGAAGTGGTTATGGCAGTTCATAAAAGTTAAAGAGCTTCTTCATGGTCTCAAACAAGTAAATGACAAAGCTGGGATTCAAATTTTCTCTATCTGATTCCAAGTTCAGTACTTATAACACTTCTCCATGGTCCCTCTTGATAAACTATGGGCTCCTGGAGTTCCAGTTTTAAGTGTATCGAAGGCCAGGGGGCAAGAAAGGACAAGTAAAATGTCAGGATGGCAAGAAATTGATCATGGCTAAAGCACAAAGGGTGAGAAGGGGGATGTGTCTGAAGAGAAGGCAGAAACCTGATTCTAAAGGGACTATATAAACCATGTTGAAAAATTTAAACTTTATTCTGAGGTCACAGGCTATGTTTCAAGTAAATGAAAGCAGTAAGGCACCGTGATTGTACCAGTCCAAAGCCTAGATGAGAGTGGTCAGGAGGAGGACAGGGTGGAAAAAACAAGACAGATTTTGACTACTAGAGAATAGTGGATGAAGTGATGGGTCATGGAGTCTACGATGGGCAAAAACCTGAAAATGCTGAGATGGACAGGACATAGAGAGAACAGCATAAGTGACAGAGGAACAGGACCTTTCCTTGGAAAGTCAGTGGCAGTACCAAAGGCTGTCTAGGGTGTTAGGCCCATCAACAGAGGCCATTTGCTTCCTACTCCCAAAGACTGGAGGAACAGGCATGCAAGTAGCAACAGTCCTCTTTAATATACAGATAACTTTAAGAAAACCTCCCTAGCCACACCTTCTTTCTAATGAGATTGCTACTCCAAACCTTCCTGTATTGAAATTTTGGAGATACCAGTGATAAGATAGAGCAACAATGGCCTGGAAGGTGTGCAGGGCAAGAAGACGAAAGGCATCCCCTTTTGGTTCTTCTGTACACGACGGAGTGCAAGAGAATCAGCAGCTCACACAGGAAGAAACAGCCTCCAGGATAGTATAGCTTTAGTTTTTGTCTTGTTCAGCAATTTTTTAAGTATCATGTACCAAGAATGATACTTGGTTAAAACAGAGGAAAAGGAAGCAGTGAGCTGAAAGACTGAAGATCCCGGTGAGGTTATTAACCATAACCTCAAAGGAGAAAGTGGAAAGCTTTGGATACAGAAGGAAGCAGTGGGAAACCAAGAGAGAGAAGGGACCATTGCAGGGATGAGAGTATAGAGAGAATAGATAATGGTCTATATTTGTGATGCGCTTGAACATGCAGGAATGTGAGGCTGGTAGAATAAGCTAGTTTCAGGGTTCCAGACTTGTATTCAGGAAGACTGCCAGTGAAAGTGGTCTTAAGGTGTCCAGACGAGGGTCTATAATAGTCACTTCAGGCCCTGACTCAGAGGTCTGAGTCTGAGTCTCCTAGCGTACCAAGTGAGTGTGTCTTCACCCACAAGTGATTCCTACAGTCAAAGAATCCCTCAGGTTATGATTTTGATGTTTTCAAGTCTTCATTTACTAGTATATCCAATCAGGTCCCATGCTTTAAACCCAATCACCACAGCTTTCTCTGATTCTAGCCAAGTTTAGCAACTTGACTCTGACAGCCTACTGTCTCCACCAAATTTGATTATGTACTACCAGGAGAATTCATCTAATGCCTGCAGCTGTCCCAGCTCCTCCCTTGAGTGGGTTGGATGCCTAACCCAATTTGCAGACAAAGTGAAGGTAATGGGCCCTGGGTAATCATTCAAGAGGCTGAGATGCTGCTCAGGGCTTAGATTTTCCAGACTCTGCTACTGATACAAACAAAAATCTATTTGAGAAGGACTCAGGAGGATAAATCCATGAGGTCTTTCAAGTAATGCAAAGAATAAAGGAAGAGAGGGCTGGGAGTATGTGGGAGAAAAGTGTCTCTCATTTGGAGTGTACTTCTGGTTTTTCTCTTATTTTTGCTTATTATGTTAAATGTTTTATATGCATTATCATCTAATCATCACAACAACCCTATGAGCTATGGTCTAGTATCATCCTTTTAACATAGACGAGAAAACTGAAGCTCAGAGAGGTAAAAATTTCTCTAAGTTTGCAAAGTCAGTAAGCAGCAGATTCTGTATCAGACACAGACTAGTGTAACTCCAAAGTCTGTGCTCATAGTCATTATCGTATCTTGCCACCTACCTTTCTCTTCATGCCCCCCCCCAAGTATAACATTACTTCTGCTTCCAGAAAAATTTGATCTCACAGTACTCTCTCTGAAAACTCTTCAAACATCTCCAATCCCTCACATTTCAGTTTGGCTCACAACACTCCTCAAGATCACTCTGTAATTCCAACAT